ATATATATATATATATATATATATATATATATATATACCTGACCAGCGCTGACAGCAAACGCATAAAGGACAGAGTGAAGGAATTTCTACGGTCCACACGAACCTCTGTTAGCGCCCACCGACGTCTTCAGTATTAGAGACAACTTAAAAGAAAACATTCAGTTATTTTTGTATTTCTATTTGCTTTTTTTCCTCAGAATAAATATATCCTCTTAACCAACTGTATGACTGTTTTTTCCCGATTATACGCAAAAGAAATAGTTTTTAACGTGTTTTTCATGCTTTATTTCTAACACGTTTATGAATTATAAGTTTTAGCCTAAGGTTACCAGACAAAACAACAATAACAACATTATTATACATCATAGTAGCATGTAGACTATAAAAAGGCAACATATCGACTCATGCGCACACATGAGGCCCGTTGCCAGCCTGGTGAAAGGGATGGTTCTTTTTTTCTCAAGTGGACCTTTTTGCAGTTATACGCCTCAGTTTCCATTTAACTATGAGATTTAAATACTACATTTTAGTGACTTTTTTGCTGGATTAGCCAGTCAGATGTCATTATAACCACACTTTTTGATGTACTAAAATATTTCCTAAAAAGTGCAGTTAAAAAATTCAAACAAGAGAAATTATTAAAATACAAATTTATTAGATTATATGTCATTAGAAAAATAGCAATCTGTTTTAAAGTTTTAAAGTAAAAAAATATATATATATCATTTATTAGACAAAAAACACACTGGCCAAACCTTTGACAGCTTTTTCTTCTTTTTTCGCGGTTATGCGCGCATTAGCCTATATTTCATATGCATATGTAAGGTGACTGAAATTAAAATTAAAATACAAAACATACTGATCCATTAAGTAAAAAAACAAAACAACAATTTTACTTTAAAGAAGAACATTGACGTTAACATTATTTTATTATACTTTAAGTGATCTGATTGAGGTAAGTCACGTTTATCAATAGTAAATTTTAACCTAAGTTTATATTAATAACATACAGTGCATTGTTCTTTACCATACAAAATAAAAAATAATAAAAGAAACATTATACACCATAGTCGCCTGTAGCCTATAAAAAGGCTGCAAATCTTTTTAAATGCATTAAAAGGCAAGCGCATATCTAAGCCTTGAGTTTGTTCACACTCTGCCTGTATTAACTTACATGCTGTATTTTAATATAGCTAATTTTGATGAATTAGCTCTAACCATTGACAGTTTTTTTTTCTTTCCGCGGTTATGCGCGCATTATATTTCAAATGCATATGCAAGGTGACTGAAATTGAAATTAAAATACAAAACATACTGGGCCATTAAGTAAAAAAAAACAAAACAACAGTTATACTTTAAAGAGAACTTTAAAGAGAACATTGTTGTTTTGAAACAAAAAAAATTACTGAAAATTATTAAAAATAAACCTGCGAGATATGTCCTGCGGCAAAATTATTTTATGAAGCAGTATTCAACTAAGCTCTTTAGACCATGCGCCTGACCGTTTCTTAGTGTTTCACCACATGTCCTTAAATACATAAGGCCTATTTTTATTATTTTTCATTATTCGTTTATTATTATGTACAATAATTGTGACATAAAATTAAATAGTAAAATATAATCAACAACGAAAATGTAAAAAAAAGGTCAATTAAAACATAAATGAAAAGGTCTTGTGTTAGTCCTACCAAAATAGCAAACACTGAAAATCTCTTTACATATAGGCTAAAAGACTGCTTTAATTTTTTAATTTAGGCATACTTAGAATATTTGTACTGAATGTTTGTGCTTTCATATTAGTTGTCTTTAACTTCTTCAATTCTATTTTTCAAAAAGAATCCTCTTTGCACTTAAAAAGTTTAGAATAACAATAAATCGTGTTAACAAATTTTAAATGATTAATAAAGGAATTATAAGGCTTTGACTTATTGTTTAATCTCATTTACAAGCACAATAGCATATTTAAGGCTGCTGTGTGGGCTATTTCTGTCGGTTCGCATCCCGTCCCTTTGCGCCCCCTGGCGGCTCATTCACAAACTGCGGTCATACACTAAAAACAAAGCGGCTCCCATTTCAAACGGCGGCGGTATATGACGCGGCGGTAATAGTCACTTTGAACTCTCACCTACTGTATATCAAAATATAAATATAAAAATTTAAAACCCATACAAGGCTATTTTTTGCTTTTTTGCTTACTTCTCTCTCGTGACATTTGCTGGTTAATAAGCTTTCTTAAAGCTGACTGACTGGTAGTATTTATTCTGCATTTTTTACACTCTGATCTATGGTAGAACATTGTTCATAATAACAGATCGATCATTCTGCATGGAACTTCAGTTTCATAGATTTTTTTATTTTTTATTTTTGCTTTGTCAATTTTATTAACTAAAAATAATGTTGTAATCTACCTGATGTGGTCTGGTGAGTCATCTTTCTCCTTCTTCCGGAATTTACTGATGGTGTCATCAATGGTGCTTCCAATTTTGTCACCGATCTCTCCAAGTTTTTCACTGAAGGGGAAGCTGCTCTTATTTTTATCCCAGTCTTCATCCCATTTGCTTTTGGATTCAGCATCAAACCTTTCTCCAGCTAAGAATGTGAATACAGAAATATTTAGGTGCTGAATGTACTTTACATATTTAATTGTTCAGATTCATAC